CCTCAAGTAGCACATCCACCTCTTCCCGCCTGCATCACCCTCCTCCTCCGTGCCACTCTTGGGGACAGCGGCGGTGTGGGCGCGACCCGTCGATTTCTCCCCACCTGAGCTGAATCTCTTTAATAAAGGCATTCAAAAGGAGAAAGATCTCTTGCCCATTTTATTTCAATTATGTTTTTAACACATAAAGAAAGCCCTTGTGTGCAAGCAAGACATTCAAGTCTTATTTTTTGCTTTTAAAAATCAAGATGCAGAAGCTTCTAGGATTGTAGAAGACATTTAGGCTTTCTGAAATCCTTCTCCTGACACTAGTGTGGGCCATTTCAATACCGATGATTAAGTAAAAAGTACAAAGAGGACCAATGCTGCTACATGTAGCATCTAATGGAAACCGGAGCATAAAATGGCAACTGAAGCTGTGCTCAACTAGGTGCTACTCGGATGGATGACAATAAAAGGGCCCAGTCTGGGAGCACTGGCAGTGCTGAACACAACAGTGGCAGCACGCAGGCTGTCAATGACTCTTGGCTTCAGCTACACCCCAACCCTTGCTAATCAGGCACCAGCTCATCAAGCATTGCAGTGGCTACCTTCAATCCCATCACAGCTGGGTATATCATGGAGCTGGGAGATCATGCTGGTCTCCCTGAGAGAATCTATGGATTTCAGCTTAAAAAAAGCATCTCGCAGCTAAGGAGGGTGGAGAGGAAACTTGGTTGAGGTGTGACGTTGGGCCCAGACTTGTGTGTGCCCTCTGTTTTTTACGGTATCGCCATCACGCTTCAGCTGGTCTGAGGAAGGGAAAAAAGGGTACGGCGGACGGAAACGCTTGCTTCCCGCCGAAACTACATTTCCCAGAGTGCCTCCGCCTTGACGGCTTCCTGCCCGTCACATGACAGCTGCCTGGCTGCGCCATGGCGGAAGCGGGGGAGAAGGTAGAGGCTGTTAGTGTACTGTGGTCGCAGCGCCGATGGAGCGGGGCTTAGAGCGGGAGCGCGGGACCGGGGCGGGGCACATGGGAGTGGAGGGGCGGAAGGACAGTGCTTGTGCCAGGGGGCTGAGGCCGGCAGCCAGCCCTGCGGGGTGCGGGGCCGTCGTGGACAGCCTCGCTGCACCGGCGCGGAGGAGGGAAGATGGAGGCAGCAGAACCTGGGTCTGGCCGGGAGGGTGGCTTTAGAAGTGCTTGTGACGCCGCTGTGGAGCCAAGAGTTGTCTCTCTACCGAGGGACATATGGAACATGACCAAGTTCATTTCAACAAGGAAATTTTTTTCTGAGACAAAATTTGAGGATTTTGGTGCTGTTCTCTTAATCGGGTGTTCTCCTAAAGCTCCCCGTCCCTAGGTTGCTCTTTCCCAAGGGAAAAAAATAATATGAAAAAGTGCTGTTCCTGGCCCTTTCAGGTGCTTTATAAATGCTTATTTGCTGAGCCAGTATTTGAACAGACAGCTCAGCTGTGCAATATTTGTTAGTCATGGATGCCTAAAAGTGAGAGAGTCTTAGAATTACTTCAATGTAACCAGCCAAAGTTAGAGACTGGCATCTGGTTTCCACCTTCCCTGCTGACAGAGTTTTGTTGGGAGGGCTTAGCTTCCTTGGGGAAGACTTTTTTCCCCCAGGATTGATGAGTTTTTAACTGTGGCAGCCTTTGGAAGGATGAAACAAACTTGGATAAGTGTTCTCTAACAATACAATAGATTAAACCAGCCTGTGTTTTGCTCTCTGGACTATGATAGGAGAGTTTATTTATTTCAGTTTATTTCCTGTGGGTACCATGCACACCTGTACTGAAAGGGCTCTGTGTGTCTTGTGCACGTGTTTCTGTAAAACTCAAGTTTTTTGTCTTTCACCTTTTGTCAGGTCTATGTTATGCACCTAAACATACAGTGGATTACATTTGATGTTTGTAAAACCAGGGGAAGGGAAAATGCTATACCTATCATACTGGAAAGCCCACTTAAGAATATTTTGAGAAGTTATGTTGGATCTGTTAAGTGAGAGACTATAATGGTGAGAGATTACTTCACATTTCTATGGTTTCCTGATCTGTGTTCCCTTACTGCATTCTTAGGCTACTTAAGCAACAGTGTTTGTCAGCTGGATGAAGTGTACTGCTGATTTTCCCCTAGAGTCTGAGATTGCTAAAGACTGCTAATCCTAAATAATTTGGATTCTGGTTGTCTACAAATCCCTTTTTAGGGATTTCCTTTCCGCAGTCACAAGGCTACTAAAAAGTGGAAGTGGAGGATAATCCTTTCAGTTCATGCATTTGGAAGGAAGGCAAAGGAACCTAAAAAAGCCCCAGGGCAATCATAACTACAGTTTACTGTTCAGGTTTGCCTAAGCAAGTGGGGGAAATGCAGGGAAAAAGCTTTTCGTAGTAAGTTGCTACCAAAGTGAGTTTGTAGGTAAGTATCAATTCTAAGCACCTTCAGCTAAGTTCTTGTCAGAGAACAAATTCAATTTTTGCATTGCTTTCCTAAGCCAAGGCTCCCTCTGATTTTTTTCTATGTTATTTTCTGCAGTAAAATAGAAAGGCCATGAAGCATTTACCTCTGTTTGTATGCCATTTATGAAATTTAGTATCTGAGATTGCAGTGCCTTGTGAATACAGTAGGGATACCAGGGTGGATGTCCTAAATAAAAATAGATTGATATTTTCTTAGTTCACGTGGAATCAACTTCTGGCATGCCCTAATTTTATATGTCAATATCCTCTAGGGATGCCTTTGCACATAACTTGTGGTTCAGGTGGGTGTGAGGACCAGCTGCTGGCTCAGTAAGTGATCTGTTAACTCCATCCTGCACGTGTTGGTCTGACAGCATGGTGTTAGACAGTGAGCTCATCATGAAAGTAAATTTCTGTTCATAGACAACCAAAACAATTGGAGCCATGAGGGGCAGATGTAGTTGGTGTAGCTGCACTGGCAAAAATGTCACTTGCTGTAATGCCTTTGTTTGGGAGAGCTTTTTTTTCCCCCCACACTATGTGAATTAAACCAAAATACCATAATTGTAGTACTATTAATTTTGTTTTATTAAGGATTTGAGTAGGTAGCTCTTGGTATTCAGAAGATAAAATCATGGGCTTTTATTAGGAATCTGATTATACTTTGCGTTGGACTTTGTGTGTTGTTCTAGCTCATTCAATCAGCTGGCAATATTACATCACACTGTTTTAGTTCAGTTCTCACTTGGTTATTGTTAAGATGCACAAAGATTGTATGTAAGAAAATTGTAATTTCCTGAAAAGTTACAACAGCTTGTGATTAGAGACTGGGAGACCAACAGACAAACAGTTGGGCTTGCAAAGTTGAACCTAAACTACAAAGGATACCAGGATTTTACTCTGTCTTCCCTTGATTCCCATGTACTTTTTACTTGCAATTTCCCAATTCATGACACAAGTATAGACTACACTGATAACCTTTCTATGGGATGTGTATTTTAGGGGTGGATCTATCTGTAGTGAGAAAAATGGAGGAAATGGATGTCAGTAATTGTGGTAACACTTTGCACAAAGCTTCCAGTAGCAGGTAGAAGTGCTGCTATGCTTCTCTCCCATCTTCTGTCATGGTCATTATGGGCATCAATGTGATCCTCCACTAATGAAAAGGAAGCCTTTGCTTTTGGTGTACAGGTCACAATCAGTATATTATATAAACACAGAAAATAAATAAATGTGAGAAACAAAAAATTACACTGGTTGTCAGTGCATTTTCTCCCTTTTCCATTTTTCTCTAAGCTGTGGGTAAGGGTGTAATTTTTTTTTGTCTTGTCTGGTGGAATTCTGTACCTATTAATCTTACTCTTCAAAGACTCTCTTCATAAGATTTGAAATGCTGCTTTCTCTCCTACTTGTTCTTTGTTTATATCATATTTTATTGTTAAAATGCTTACATTCACTATTAGTTGTCATCCTTTATGGCTATTGATAAATATGTTAAGTAAATCTTCGTTTTGCTGACTTCTTTGAGGAGGCATTGCATCAGCAGATTTTCTCAGTGGGCAGACAACAGATGAGCAGGAGTTGACTTAAAAAAATTTTTTTCTAGGGTTGAAAGACTCATCTTGCCAGAGAGATGTTTTAAAGGTACAGTTGTTTCAAAGGCAGGAGAAAGCCATGTCTTGCATTAACGTCAGATGGGAAGGAGAAAGCCATTGAATTCTGGATTTCTATGGAAAATGGTTTGAAATTATTTAAATTTAAAATAATCCTATTAACAGCTGAATAGTTGAATAGCAAAGCTGGCTTGTGGGTAACTTGAGAATGCTGTTCTGCCATGGAAGTCAAGATATGGGCAGTTTCCTTGCAAAATTTGCTACTGCTTCTGGAAGAGGGGAACACAATCACAGGGACAGATTCTCAGATGACCCAGTCACTCTCTCCCTTTTAGGGTAACTGACAACAGAGTCCCTGCTGCTCCTGAGTATCACTGTGACACAAATGCAAGCACAAATTAAGTATGAATGACAAGGATGGAAACTCTGAACTTTGAGTTGCTTCTGCTCTGTCTTTCATTTCTTAATAAGAGTTTAAAAGTATTTCTTAAAGGGAAATACTGCTCAGTTATGTATATACTTAGCTATTTACCCCTTTGTTTTTTTGTGTCCTTTTCAGGAAACCAGGTTTTATGAGGAATCAACAGATGAATCTGAGGTAACCCTTCTTAAAATGTTTCACACTCAAATTTGTGTCATTGTGGTCAGTGCTAGTTTTTTGTTAATATGCAGTGAAAAAAACTATTTCACTGGTTGTTTTTAGAAGTTTGGCCAGTATTATGTACCAAGGATTGTACAGGGTTTAAATTATTGAAAAGAAGCTGTGAATTGCTATTAGAAGCTTCTTTATATTAAAAAAAATAAAACCCATCCACAATCAGTTGTAAAATTAATTATATTGAGAGATAAATTGAAGTGCATTTGCTTCTGTTTTGATAAAATGAAAATTTTTAAATATCGTTATATATGCAGTAATACTATATTCGGGTAATTACTTTGTTGTTTTAATAGCTTCACAGTCTCCACTTAACCATGTCCTGTAGACTCTCTGTTCTTGAGATGATGTTTTTTCAAAAATTGTCTCATTTTCTGGAGAGGTCTGCCTACACTGCTGTAGGGGATGGGAAAAGGGGGCTGGGGATGAAGAGAGGAAGGAAGCTAGAGAGAGTTTCAAGAGTTTGTCCTCAACAGTAATGTTACAAATAAAGCTCTTAGGAAGATTTTGTTTTTTACCAAGGGACAAATCTCCATGCTGGGTTTAAGCACTAAGCAGACAGAAATCCTAATTTCTATGACAGTGGATAGTGCAGAGACTGTAGTGGTGGATTCTGAAAAAAATATTTTTGCAGTGGAAGGTGGTTTTGTTTCTTGTGAGGTGTTTTTTTTTTCTTTCTGCCTTTAAATGGTTGTCTTCAGTAGCACTGAATAGCAGTACTGGTGAGAAGCAGGGTTTTTTGGCCCTTTAACATTGCTCTGTGGAACAGCTGCCTGGGCCAGACTTTTTTTGTCCAGTGTGAAATGCCTTCATTTTGAATAGTGCTTGGTGATGTGGAGATAAACAGTCACTGGGCAATGACTCAGTAGAATAGTAATCCTCTCAAGGCTTGATATTCACAGGATGGAGAACACAGATACTTACCTGCTGAGGTGCTTTTTTTTCTAAAAGCTTATTGCAATGAAAAAATGGCACTTTTACTGGCCTTTCAAGTTTTCAGCTTTAGCAAATCAGTAGTTACAGCAGAATTAATCATAAATGGGTTGCCATTTATGGGTGGGGGTTTACTATTTTTTCCCTTAAGAAAAATAGGCATCATGCATCTTTCACAAAATTTAAAGTCCTAAAATTTCAACTAGACCTATGTTAAAGTTGACACCTGTTCTTAATGATAATTTCACATGCAGAGAGAAGGGAAAAGGAAATTTATTGAGAATGTAGATATTGGATCTAAAGAACAATTGTCATTTTAATGTCTGTGAAAATGCTTTGCATTAGCCATCTTTGAGTATTAAGTCCAATCTTTAGTATTTTGATCATCAGTATGAGAAATGACTCCTCACTTTTAAAAATGTCAAAAGTTTATTAAAACCTTAACAAAATACAACAAATGAGTGAATAAGGAAAAAGGACAGCATGCTGGGAGTAGGTAACCCAGCAGCCACAAGCTGGTCTACAAAATGGCTGCTCGAAATTTTACACCCCTGGGTTTGCATTAGGCAACCTGTCCCCTCCTGAAGTCTATCAGTGAACTCTTCTTCACCATTATTGGTGGAGATGACTTTCTTCCAGCTTGGCTGGAGGTCAGGTGTTGTCATGCCTCGCCTCCTAGTAACAAGCCTTCCCTCCTCCCAAATGTCCCGTGCAAGGCCCTCCTTCCACATGTCCTGACTACCAAGGCCGTCCCTTGGCAACAGTACTGGGAGAGAAAGGGGACTACGGGAAGAACAGAGGACATCTAAACAAAAAATCACAACAACATAACCATACATCAGTGAAACTTCTCATAACATACACATAATAGTCATCCCTTTATTGCGAGAGCCAACTATCACATTACCCATCTATAATAATCAGAAAATATTTAATGGAATGAAACTGATTGGACTATTTCTAAAGATTGTTCAGATAAAACTAAAATGGTAAAAAACACAAAGTGTTCTCAGTGCTTGCTTATATTACTTGAAGTATGGCCAGAGCTAAGATCAAACTGATGGCTTCACTCCTAGCTCTTGTGATTATAAAATTGTAATTATTTCTTTTGAATGGCCTATAGTTTGAATAATCAGGGTGGTGGCTCTAGAATCAAAGACTCTGATTCTTGCAGCCCGTGTTTAGTTTTAGCCATTAAGAATATATTTATGGCATGGACTTCATAGACATCTTACCATAGTACTAAAAATTTTTACATATACAATTACTCCTGCAATTAATTTAATTTAAATTCTTTGTATAAAATTGCGTATTGTTACTAATTATTCCAGAGGACACATGACACATATCCAACTTACATTATAGATGTGCTTTCTGTTATAGGGGAATGCAATATTAAAATTTCTGATTTTGAGTAAATTATGCCCCTGTCTGAATTGGATGTGTAAACAAAGTATGGAATTTTTTTCCTGATCTATTTACCCTTTTGTGCCATTATTTTAGCAAAGAATCAAATATACATTAATTCTTTCTCATGCAGCAACTCTTACTGTCTTTCCTTTAGCATATTCTAGCAAATAAGATTCTAGTGTTTTGCTGCCTGCTTGATTTGTTTTGAAGGACAGGCTCTCTAACAATTGCCAAGATGCTTATTTGCACAGACCTGGTGGTAGAGCTTAATAGTAGGCCTCAAATGTGGGAGTCTGCAAAAATTGACTGTCTTGAATGTATGTCATCTGAAAGTTCATCAATGTAAGTTTGGTTCCAGCAATGGCTCCACAGGAAATTGAGTTCCTAAAGCTGCTCTGTTGTAAGGTACTTCTCAGCTAATTAAGTCAGAATGTGTAAAATGCAAAGGTATCAATTAGCAGAGATGGTGCATTTGTTCAGATATTTAGTAGACCTTTCTTTCAATATAGAGATAGCTATAGTTACTAGTAAAATTTGTAGAACTTGTAGCACTTCTAGAAGTGATGTTATATTTCTTTCCTGGTAACTACAGTACAGTTGGCACTTTCCTATCATGTTCTTATATCTGATTTGGGGTATTCCATGCTTTTTCTTTTCCCGTAGTCAGACTGCAATATATTATGCCATGCTATGATGAAGAAGCTGTTTCTGTAGTAGTCCTTTAATTCTTAGGGGAAAACCTCCTTATTTTGTGAGGTAATTTTACTCAGTCTTGAAATACAAGTATTTTAGTTCTGTGTGTTTGGCTTTAAACATTTGGTTTTGGAGGGTTTTGATGGGTTTTTGTTTTTTGGGCTTTTAATTTTTTTTTTTCTGAAGTATATTTTCATTACTTATCCCAGCCATGTCTAATCATCAAATATGCAGCCAGATTTCAGGGTGAATCTGAGCAGGTTTATTTGGTTGAAAAGTCCTAGTTTCAATGTGGTTTCATTGGCTTATTTAATTTTATTTTATAACACCTGAAGCTAAATGTTTGGACTGTCACATTTGATGAGATCTAAAAAGTAGATAGCAAAGTAATCAGACTTTTGGAAACTGTGGAGGAAAAAAGAAACTCCATAAATTATGTCCAGCCTGAATCAGAATTTATTTTCAAATTATTTTTCTTCCTTGCAATGCATCTGTTGCTGTAAAATCTTGCTTTTCTCAGTTGAGCTGTTTTCTGTCAGACAGTTATGTTTTGCCAGCTAATTAGCAAATAATAAAACGCTTAAAATTGTCTCCTCCATTCTAATTTACTACAGGGGTTACAAGCAGATTGTGCTCATCCAGCATGTGGCTTTTTTACTGGAAGTGCCCTTTCAATAACAAATGTCCCTGGAATTATAATTGAGTGCTATGTCCCAAAAAAAGATCCTTGATTATGTAAGGCATGTCACTGTTTGTGGTTTTGTTTCTTTTGCTTGCAGTAACGCTGCACTACAGCAGAATTTTTTTGTTTTGCAATTGTTTGCTTCTTAAACTACAAAAAAAGCCATGTTAGTGCAGATGTTCATGTAGCAAAGAGGTGCTAGAATAGTATTTTTTAAAAAAGGTAGACTGATATCTTTATTCATGTTTTTTTGTTAGATACATGAATGTGTTAATCATCAGTATTGCATAATTTTCATTCTAGCACTTCTATTTTTATATGTCCCCTTCTTAACTTTTTTTTTGCTGCTTTGATCACTGTTACCCTGTGAAAGAGACATGTTTGTTCATTTAGTTTCTCGATTAGTTATTTAAATGCTATATTAATAAATTCCATGAGCGTTTGTAGAGAGAAAGGTATTGTAGAAATTCCTGGTTAATCCAGTGCTCAAACTGTTTCTGGTGGTTTAGAAATATCCCTCTCTGATACACTGTTACCACTGAAACTAGTAGTGGTTTTGTTCTTTAGGGTTTTGAAAATTGTTCAGAGCAGGAACACAGTAGGAAAAAATGTAAGCCTTAAAAAGAGGCAACTAAAAAGCTTTGATATTTTCTTTCTCTTTTCAGTGCACTCCAAGTTTTAGTCTTGTAGGTTGGGTCTGGATTAGGTCAAAGCAATTAAGTCATTTGAAGTAAATAAAGAATCTGGTGAAAAAGGGTCCTTGTCATATTGTGTTTCCATCAAAACATTCTCTCAACATGGGGTGTGGAGCATTGGGCTGGAAGAGGTAAGCTGTTCTGTGGGTAGTATCTTTTGAAATGGCATCACCATTGCAAGAAAAATGGATGCTTGAAAAGGAGATGTGTCTACTGCACCTTTGTCTGAGTTGCCTTTTTTTGTTTACTGTCTGACCTTTTCCAAAGTAATTATTTTGATCACGCCACTTTTCCTTATTACTGAATAGTTGTATGCTAGACTATTTTTAAAAACATAAAATGGGAGAAAAATGCTCAAAAAATATGTTCTTTTTCACATATCGGACGTCTGAAGAGAGATTGCTTCTCTCTGTATGGCTTTAAATTAAATTGGCCTTTTGAGGAGAATGGAAGGAAAAGTTACATAAATTCCAAGTACTAAGTTCTCCTTATTGTTGAGGAAATGTATCATGCAAATAATTTATCAATTT